CGTGTCCACCCGACTTCGAGTGACAAACTCGATTTTGATTGGTGAACGAAGCAATCCGCGGGAGGGAGAGAGAGGAGATGGTTGGCATGACTACATTATCCCTTAGTATATTAGCCTCTAAGAACTGACGTTTTTCTCCTTGAATCGAGTGATCTTTGAAAATTTGCCAGCAAACTTTAGTAGTCATCTTAATAATTAAAAGTAATAACACTAATATTATATAAAATAAGAATAATAATTTAATAATAATTTAAAATAGCATTTTTGATAATCTTGTTGGTTTCTGTTTACGCGAAAAATTTACAAAATTTACGTAAAAGAAAAATACAAGTGTATGAGAAAAAAATCTTTTTTCCCGCTGCAGAAAAACAGGGACGCTTGCAGTATGTTTTCTCGGTTGACCTAAATCCGCGATTGGCGTTGCATTCAAAATTATCGAATGCACCAAGAGAGAGAGAGAGTTTCTTGAGGATGCATTTTCTAGCGAGGTGCATTTTGTAACCTTTTGACCCACGTGGAGCTCGCTTGTCGTGGCGTTCTGTTCGAGCGAGCACTGTCTCTCTCTCCAGCGCAGGCACAAAGCATCGGGAGCATCCCCGCCGCCACTTCCGCTTTTGTTACGTCCGTATGTAACGCACACACGCGAGGGCGCGATGCACACAGACGGGTGCATCGTCGCCGACTTTGAACCACGTTCGATTAAGCCACATCGGCGCGCGCGCGCGTGCTCCATCAGATTTTTCACGCGGTCTGATTGGCTGCTGTTGCACGGGGCCGTTCGTCAAAGCGACCGCGTCGTTGACAAACTCACCCGATATATGTCGACCGTCCCCGATCGTGGTACACCCTCGCTTTTATATTGTTTCCTTAATTCCCTAGCTCGCGGCTATTTTTTAATCTCTTACCAAACGATGATTTTAATTAAATTTACGCTCAAATCTAACGCTCTAATTTAATTTGATGTGTAGTTCTGTGATACATTTTTCAGATTCAATGTCGAATAAATTCCAAGAAAGAATGCATTATTAAATATCTCGGTAATAATGAGAAGCTTTGCAATAAGAAAAGAGATAAAAAATTTAAGTCGATTTAAATATTCGCCGCGTAGGTGTTTTTCTTCTGAATAAATTTTTTTATATTATTCTCTGATAATATTAAAAATCAATATATATATATATATATATATATATATATATTAATTATAAAATTTTTACATGGAAAATACAACTGTTTCATTAAATTTTTAATACCTCGAAGTATATCTAATACATACATAACGAGAAAAATATTTTATATCGCTACAACTGCAAAATATAAATAATAATAAATCCAAAAAAGAAGATTATGATACAAATAACATATACATATATATATGTATAATATATTGTAGCAATTTTTCAATATAAATATAAAAATATTTTGCACGTCATCTGGTGCATTTTCCAAGCGTGTCAAAGTGTTTCTTTTACTGACGTTTTCTCGAAATGCAAAGTGCAAAAGTAGTCGCTTGAATTATTTTCCGAAAAGTTCGTGTCGCGGCGAACGACGCGTTTAATGCTTTATCATGCGACAATGTAAATCAGGATGGTTTGACATAGGAATTGTTTGACGCAATCCAAATTTTCACGATACATCGGGAAATCATCGTGTCAGAGTTTCTCGACTATTAAACTTTTCATAAACGGCGAGATGTGTACGCGAACGTCAAACGAGGATCATGCGAGATGACGTTACAAGAAGTGCTAAAAGCGGAAATATTTCAAACTCTTAAATGAGGCTAACGAATATGGATCGCATCTCAAAAATTTCATATCTCGATCGATTAGATGATGCATATTAAAACGTTATGGAATTATCGGTTAAACTATACTTGCTAATAAGGCCAGAAATTGAATCAATCGAAATTATGTAAATCTTCGATTAATTATTACACTACTTAAACGCTAATTTAAAATATCGTTGGCACGTCTTTCGTCTAATTTTCTATCGATTTAAGAATAGCATAGTCGCGATGGAGGCTAATTTATGTTTTCGTATCGCATCTCTCTTGTAAACGATTCTCAATAATATTCAATAATTTGATGGAATCGAGAGCAATAGTTTCCTTTCTCTTTCTAATTCCTTTCGATTCTAATTTCTTGCCAATTTTCAATCTCAATTTTACTCGCAACTTATACCTATTGTTCACCAAATATGTAATCTTTGATTAAAATACTAATATTAAAATTACGTGCAATACAATAACTCAATCAAGTCAAATAATTCGATCGCATTACTTGGATATATATTTCGTAAATATCTCGCTAGTTTGCTGACAAATTAACTGTTTTAATGTTAGGTATAAATTTTTGTATTATAAAAATATCATTAAAAATATATAAAAGAATTATATAAAAATAATTAATTCATCATTAATTATTGAATATAAATAAAAATGTATAAAAATCTAAGAAATATTTCGAACGAACATTGAAACAACAATTTTTCATAAGTAAGGATGAAAGATTTTTATTACGTACTTGTTTATAAATTTGAAATTTAAGTCCAACGCAATAATTAATCTCGATACTTTGAAATGTCTCCACACCCACTCGATAGGTAAAATTATCATTTCAACGTAATAATCGGATAAATAAATCGTCTCGATTACCGGAAAAGGTGCACAAAGTGCCTCATGGCTCCTACAAGTCGATCACCGATGACTCGCGACCTTTTCTTTTTCTTTCTCTCTTTCTCTCTCTTTGTTTTCCGCTCCCAAAGCTCCAAGCAATAATGAACGCGTCAATTTTCCATCTCGTCCCATCCGCTCGCTCTTACCGCTCTTTCCTGCCCCCCTTTTCTTTTTTTTACCGAAGCTGTCCCTATTTTTTCGTGCCATTTTTATTTCCAGCCTCGCTCCTTTCACTCGTTATCGGCCCCGCTCGCTAATGGCACACGATTGCCTTTCGCGTTTATCCAGCGTTTCCGTCGCGTCCAGCGGTCTGTGGACCAGCCGCGACCTTTGCCCTCAGCGATCGTGTATGTCGGCGACACGCGCGAGCCCATCCTGACGTTTCATTTCTCGCGACGCGGATCGACATTCGCCCTCTCCGCCCACCCTCTTCCCCGCTCTCCGGTACGCCACGTTGCAAAATTAACCCTTCACCAACGATCAGTAAAGGAAGGAAATTTCGCGTTTCTCTTATTTTCTCTACGACGTTTGTTCCCTATCCGTTTTGCCGGATCGCGTTCGAGGGTCCTCGACTACTATTACTACTCTCCCTTTCCACCGGCGAGGTTTCGTTCTTTGTGAAATACTAATGGAAATAATTTACTTATTTAAATGGAAGGAGGAGACACACGCGTGCGGGAAAGTTGCGAAAGAGTTAAATCCTTGAATCAACTCGAGGGCTTTTAAAGATTCGATAAAAGGCTCGGGCGCGAGCAAATGTATCTTAAATATATTACATTTCTCTAGCTCGATATTCCATCGGCATCGAAAAATGGACGCGAGATAGCGAGCGGGACCGTCAATCTCCCTTTTTTTTTTTAAATTTACATAATTGAAGAGAGAAGGAGGAGGAGGAGGAGGAGGAGGAGGAGGAGGAGGAGAGAGCGACGCGAAAAGTCGCGATTCATTTTCAATTTCGAACTAATTTTACGGTCAAATTGAAAACGACGCAGTGTCGTTATTATTATAACCGAAAGAGCGCCCCGCTTATCGATCGGCAAGGGCCATTAAACTCGAAACGACAAAATATAGTTATTTCATAGATGAATGGAGGGCTATTGCGTTCGAATAGCTATTAACAATTTGGTGCGGCCTGGTGATCAATTATTATAGTATTCATTTCTGCATATGTATGTGTGTGCGTGTGTGTGTATGCGAGCGCGTATGTGTGCGTGGCAGCGATGTAGGTCCGCGAGCGCTTTTTCCAACGTCCGCGCTTAATGACAAGTCAACGATTCTCTTCGTATCGGTTACTTGCAAATTAATAGAAAAGCCGTCAACTTCCTTAATTTGATTATAACATACGCCGCGCTCGAGCGGCGAAAAGCATGAATAAAATTGGTCATCGCCGACGCCGGGAACTATATTTGCGCGCGTCGTTGAGGATCGCGATCGCGCGGTTGAATAACCCAGATCTACCTTAATTTCGCCAGCTATGTAATAATAATGAACCGCGCGACGGATGAGAGGAGACGCGAGAGCGGATCGTCGACATTTTTCTCTCGCGCGCACGATTAGCGATGAAATATATCCCTCTCTTTTTCGCTCGCCATCGACCATCGAGGGATGAAAATTTGATTCGCGACCGACTAATCAAGTCGCTCACACACCGCCACACACCGATACATCTCATTTCAGATCACAAATAAAACGTCATCGAGAAGAAAAAAAAAATATATATATATATACGGTAAACAGTGAAACAACATTATTATTCTATTCCCATGCAGAAAGACAAACACAAGAAATGTACTCACGACCTCGAAGGGACCCTCGCCTCCCGGAATTTTCACGAATTCCGGAAGGCGCGGATCCTTAAGGATCCACGGATCCTCGTATCCGAGACTCGAAGGCTCGCCAGCCTCCGAGTCCCAGATGAACGAGATCCATCGCATCCCCCCCTCTCGCCCCATGCGAAAGAGAGAATGCGCATATGTGACACTTGCATCCGACCCCTTGCCCTTTTCGTAAACCCCTTAGTGATATGTATGATTTTTACCAAGCCAGCCAGTAGCTAAGAATTTAAGTTTGGGATTCGTGTAATGCTACTCAGTTCCTTTCTATCTTAATGACTTGTGTACATGCTACATTACGTAAACCTATATATTCCTTTAATGTGTATCTGTTTTGAACGCGGAAACGAAGTGAGAGAAGAAACGGCAACGACCTATCAAAAAAAAAAAAAAGAAAAGAAAAAAAAACAGAGAGAAAAAAATAAAAAGAAAGAGGTCGTGCGACAATCTAGCCATGTTCCTACTGACTAACATCGGTCTTTTTTTTCTGCTTTCAGCTGCACAGATTCCACAACGCGGAAGTAAGTACGATTAAATTACGTTTGAAAAAACAAAAAAAAAAAAAGAAAAAATCGCAACACTGCTTCTCATCCACACCTCGCATCTCCTTTCACCCATCTTTCTCACCCCTTCTGCAGTTACTTTGCACCATTTTCGCTCTGTAATCGCGATTATCGTCGATCGGACCGTTTTAGGGGCGTAGAAGCGAGGATGCAAAAAAAAAAAAACATTGAGACTGTCAATACGGCATGCCTTTCTGTCTTGCGAATGGATGAAAAAGCGCGGATTTAAAGACTTGATTAAGAGGTCGGCGTAACGCGATTTCGATAATAGCGCGCGCTTCGGTTTCTATAATTAATCATAATTGTTTCCTTAAATTTTGAGGAATAAAAGAATGGAAAAAGTAATTAACCATCTCTTACATCTAATTAAATATTACTTTTTTCAAAACTTTTTATTTCTCAAATCCTAGGATTATAGCTCAAAATTTTTAACGACTTTGAATATTTAATGCTGGATTTTCTTAATATTCATCTTTGAATTTTTAGACTCGAGTATTCTTAATTTTCAAAATTTAGATTTTTCTACAGTATCAGTTACTTTGATCTTTAAATTTCTTGAATTAAAAAATTGTCAACTTTCACATGATAAAAATATTCTCTCACTTTCACATGATAAAAAAATCTATATTTAATAGATGAAAACTACTTTGTTTCTTTAGAGAAATATCTAAATTTAAATTTTGAATTTTTTTACGAAATTTAATTTCTAGACTGTCGGATACTTTGATTTTAAAACTTACGAATCTAGAAACCATCAATTCTCATCTAATCGCGAATAATCTGCATTTAATTGGAAAGACTACTTTGCCATGTGGAAATATCATTAGGAGGCGACCGAAGCTAGACGCTATTATCAATTTCAGCGCATAATTATCTCTCATCTTCCTTGCTAGAGACTTGAAAACTTTTAATGCGGTCGATTCTAAATATCAGCATGCAGTAATAAATGAGAATGCGCGCGTTTCTCGTATTCACACGGTTCTTGGCACGCGCGTGAAATCGGACGTACACGTATCATTCGCGGATCCTCACATATTGCTCTAATTTCAGCATGCAAGAGGAAAGACGAGATGGCGAACCAGGCAGAACACCAACAGCCCGCCCCCAAGAAACCGCGGCTGGTTTTCACAGACCTTCAGCGCCGTACTCTACAGGCTATTTTTAAAGTGAGTACCTACACAAACGCACACAATACGTAACTTCTTACCCTCTTGTGATCGATAGTAATTGCCCTCTTTCCCTCTCGATGTGCACAGGCAAATGAATATTGAGAGAACCGCTACTGCTGCTTGTTAGCAGTGGCTAACTTTCGCGGTCGAAAGTGCATATTGCACACACACACACACACACACACACACACACACACGACTTTAAACTTGCACTCATCGCATTCGAATCGCGAGGAGACACCTGTCCAATCGAGAACATTTTCTTAAAAGATAGATTCTAATATAGTGTTCTGAGTGAATTTTACACGAAATGTATATAATTATACATTTATATATCTTATTCGAAAAAATAACATATGGATAAATTTAATGCAATATGCCGTTTGAATTTTCTAATATTAAATTTTAAAATTTGCGGGAATAATAAAGCGGTACTTTAAGCGAAATGACAAATCGAAATGCATGGCTACAAAATCCATTAAAAGATCTAAAATTTTTAACTAAATCATTTTTGGCATTTATTGAAGAAAAAAACAATTTTAAATATATTAAATATATTAAATTTAAATTAAGATTGAGCATATTTAAAAAATATACATATATTTCTTGGGAAACAATATATAATTCAAGGACAAACAAAACGACGTAGCACGCTCAAAGCTACAATATCCCTTATCAGATCTGCAAAGAAAATTGACAAACAATTTTTAGATGACATAAGATTTATAAAAAAAATAACTGTTTGTATATTTCTAGCCGTTTACGCTATCTGTTTTATCATCTTTGAAGATTAGTAGACAAATAAATTACCGGAATAATGATTGCATGCGTGTATTAATAAGTCTATTAATTTTTTCTTTCTTTAAAGAGGTCGGGGAGACACTTTCGAGGAATGTCTCTCGCGAGAGGTCGTGTTTTCACGTGGAGAAAAACACGTTCCCTCCGTGTGCCCTATAGATACCTAAAATTCAGTTGCGCGCGTCAACCGACAGCGCGCACTCCGCGCGACTATCGATCGGTCTTGAATAATTTCGCGGCCGGTTCTTTACTTATGCGCTTCGTATTCCAGCCCGCTGATTGTAACGCCGTTGCCGTCGCCGCATTTCAAGAATGGCCATTGATATTATCCGTTTCCTCATTAACGTCCGTACAAAAATTAGCACTGCCGAGAAGCACTGCTGTGTTTTCACTGTTTTCTGGGTTTTGTTTTTATTTTCCGAACATCGTAATTATATTACTCAATAACGACATTAGCATGAATAAAATAATATACGAGCATACGAGAAACCTGGATATTTTTATAGTGCGAAGAAAGAGAACTGGAATATCAAAAAAATGGAATAGAATTCAATAGAATCAAGTATAATTAATGTCGCGAAGAAAGTCGAAAGGATTTCAGGATGTGTAAGATGTAAGAAAAACTGGATTTTTCTTCTCTTTCTTGCTTTATATATTTATTCATACTAAAATATTGTCATTTCTATTTGAAAATTATATTTAAAAAATAATATTATACGTATTATTTCAGCCTAATGGGTCGAATTTTTCCCACGAGGGTTCAGAAGGGATAGTTTGCTTATTATTATTTTTTTACACGTGTGCGTCAATATATCGAAATGTCCTTAAATTACCTTACTTAGCGCTCATTGTGCTTTAATAAATGCATCGTTTGGCTACATCGATATCGAAGAATTGAAAGATAACGCGATATTTTCAATCCGCCAAATGCGAGATCGATCGAATCCGATATGTAATCGGCTACATCGGTTACGTTCGCGGCTATTACAACTATGATTACAATCAGCGCGGACGCATCGCGAAACAATGAAATGTGATAACTCGTTTCCGATGACGATAAATTATCGTATAAATAGCGCGGCACGCGCGCGCTTTTGCGAAATTGCCTTTTCTGCGAAATCAACTTTTCTGCTTTGTCGCAAAACCGATTGCCTTTAGATCGAATAGAGTTTTTTTCGCGATTGGCGGGGGAGGGAGAAGCGGGGGAGAGAGATGCACGGAGTATTACACTTAATGATCAATTTTTTCGGCACGCGCGTGCGTTTGTCGTTCATATCAAATGTGATAAATCACGACGAAATCGTTCGGATTGGTTGGATTATTGACGCGATATTTCATCGGACAGTAATTCAGAATACGATTTGCAAAATCTATCCCTCTCTGTCTGCTGTCTTTCTTTCTCTCTCTCTCTTTCGCGTTGCCCATATTTAGTCCGACGTTCTATTTCGTGAACATTTCGGTTAAAGTCAATTAGCGCGAGAGCGAAAGAATGGCTTGATGAGATTAATTCAATCAGAAGCAGCGATACTCCGATCGATCTCATTAAGAAGCCACCGATAAATGGCACACTAAAACTTGCCATTAAATGCGCTCGATTGAAATAAGCGAGTATAAATTCACTAAATCAAATATACGATAATTTGTAAATCAAGTTTAACTCTAAAAATCAGCTAACCGTGTCGTGTGATTCACAAATCTAGAAATATAAACCTTTTAAGTAAAAATCCGGAGTTTAAGAATTTCAAAATGTATTCTGAATAAATCGACGAAATAAGTGCATAACTCTTGACATAATTTGACGATAATGGCGTCAAATGCGAATCTCGAATGGCTGCAAACTATGCGAAGCAGCTGAGGAACCACGCGGGGCGCGACAATCTCGAGCCGATGACGAGAGAGCATCTTCGCAGGAGCTCCCAAGAGCGATGAGCGACGATTAGTTGTAGCCGCGATCGAAATTTCGAGTTTAGAATAGGGAGGCGAATAGTCGGTGTATTTTTAATCCCCGCAATCGGGCCCGCTTTAACGAGATTCAACGTTTTACTCGCGTTTTATTGCGATCGTGCTTCGCGTGTGATCGCGAGGAGAAATAAAAACAAAATCTCTCTCTCTCTTCGAGCTCCTGGACGGACGCCAAATAGTTTGCGAATTGACCTTAGCCCACTTTGCTCGTACGTCCCGAATCGCCCGCAATCTTTCCCGCGCGATTATCGAATCATTCCTCGATTGCACGCTTCCCGGAAAATTAATCCTCGCGAAAGAGATAGAGGAGGGTGCCTTTGGCTTAAAGAATTCAAAGGAGAGAGGTTTGAAAAAAACAATACTACTAGGTAAGGTGATTTAAAGATACATAAATCAAACATTTAAAATCGCATAAGACTCGTGCAAGTAAACTGCTCTTCTCTTATTACATTTAAGGTCTGGATATATTCGTAAAGAAAATTTGAATCTTTTATGTTTAATGCAGAAATAATACGATGTTCTTTTGAAGATTTCTTAAAACGAAATAAAAATATCATCGTACAAATAAATTATTCGAATGAAATTTTCGTAAATAAAGTTCAGTTTTCCGCAAACTCGCATAATTTTTTTAAAATCACATTTAACATTCTCCATTATATTAAATCAAATTTTTTTAATTATCATCAGAATAGAAACGCGATAGTTATCACTTTAAAAATTCCAGTTTTCATAATGTTGCTAAAGCAATAAAAATATCGCGACCTTTTACCCGTGTTGAAATTTCCCTAAACTTTATCGATTAGATTATATATAAAAATTTATATAAAAATATATTCTAATAATAATAGTAAGTTATAGAGAATATTCTCTATATATTAAAATAATATTAATTTTCAAAGATACCGAGAGTAATTACAAATTGCGTGAATAAAGAAGAATGAAAAAAGAATTTCTCCATTAAATAAATTGTATCTCGAAATGGCACGAACTGTGCTCACGAGGGCAATATCCTTTAATAGGTAAAGAAGGCGCATTTCAAGCACACATATCCGGAGAATAAAATTTCTCCCCTCGAAAAGAGGGAAATGTCCCTTTTTACGCACGCCCCTCTTTACGCAACGCGTAAGCGTTTCTCCTGCGAGCGATTGCTATTAATTGCTTTAATTGTAGAGATAATTAATACGCGCGCTTTATAATAAAAACACTCGAAGGGGGCGATTTGAGTATAATGGGCTGCGCAGATTCTGGAGAGATGAGACTTTTATTTGCGTCCCCGGACGCAATAATATAAAGCTCGCAACCTCGATTATTCTCAAAGCGACCATCGCGCCGCCTTTACGGCGGACGGTTCGGCCTCCATCGGAATGAGTATTAATTGCTGTAATTGCAAAGATATAATTGATATTCTGTTTCATTGGAAACGGCACTCTAGAGGAGTGCGCCCCGGAACGAGGCGCGCGGTCTTTCGCATTGAAATTTTAACCCGATTTAAAAAAAAAGACTCGGAAGCTCTTTCTAGCACTCTCTCTAAGACAATGAGGCTTACGAGACACTACGGAGAATTCCAGATAAATTTTTCATGCACTTAGTTAAACAGCAAGATATTGAGCTAAAGAAAATTATCCGGAATCGTCCGTAATACAAATTTACCTTGTATAACAACGGATAAAAATTGCAAAATTGAACGGCAAAAAATTATTATACGACTAATAAGAAGGAGGAAATTTATAATCTCAAACGAGGAAATCAAAATTGATTTAATCCCGTTTTAAATGACGAGAAATCAAATAGGTTTTGTTACATTTTTTTATAGACGATACACTTGGCGATGGAAAAAGCAGTTTTATCGAAATTTAATAATAAAATTTCCAGCAGTGTGTATCAGCTACCCGGCACGAATTCCGGTTAGATAGCCGCGGGAGAATGAAATATAGAATAATTCCAAATTCAAGGACCGCGCGCTCGCTCGAGCCGTTAAATATCCCCGAAATTAATTAATAATTTAATTCGCGGTGACGCATGGAATCGACGGGGTTTCGATTTTCAGAGGAAAAGGCAACGGCGGTGGCGGCGGCGGCGGCGGCGGTCGAGAGAGGCGTACTTTAATTAACTCGTGGACGTTAATTTCGCTTAACTTGCGCCGGACACGCGCCGGGGAGTCCGTTTAAGGCACATAGAGAGCCGCGTGTTGTCGCCGCTGGCTATTGATACGCGCGTATCCGCGCGGACTTCGCTGCAGCTGCAGTTGCAAAACACGAAGGCGGTGCCCGCTCCGTATAGAACGGCGCATCAATTGTTGGAAATGCGGGACACTATCGCGACGAGGCATCGTGATTATTCCTTGACAGCCACTGTGTGCGCTGGCGCTATGCACGAGCGATGTGTGTTTCAGCTTCGCGCGCGAACGTACGCGTGTACACACGTCACACGTCATACATCGCGCCTAACTGCCTGCCAAAGAAAGAGAGAGAGAGAGAGAGAGAGAGAGAGAAAGCCCTTCGTGAAAGTGACGGCAAGAAAATCGCGTCTCTCATCAGCGCTGTGCAATTTTGCAGGCCGCGTCGAGTTCCCTTCTTTCCAAACGTAATTCAAAAATTTCCTCAAATTATAACACGCACGATTTTATTTCATTTAACTCGTATTTCGCCCAGATTTGTTTACTTGCTGTTTTTCCCCTGAAAAATGCAAATATTTGATGCTCGAATTGTAAAAATTTCAAGAGGAGGACAAATGATTTTTTAATGATTTGTTTTGAAATATTTGTAACTTGCACTTTGAACGATGATCCGTCGTTCGTTCGATATTAGTGGACGATAAACATTTCTTTACATGTGGTAAATGGACTAGTACGCTTTCTTCCCACGCGACGTTTCTTACCCAACGTAGCCCGATCAATAACGCGACTCGAGGTAGAGTATATCGATTGCCGGAGTAACAATTATTACTAACCAATACTTTCACGTGGCACAGTCGAAATTAGCACACGGGTTTTTGCAAGTACATTGTACTTTGAATCTACATCTGAATGTGCGTTTAAATCTTTCTCGATAGAACCAAAATAAATAATTAATTAATTAATTCAATAATAATGGAATATTTTATTATCCATTAGATATAAAGACGTTCTACGACAACTTAAAGAAAATATTAAGCATTGATACCATTCTTTCGTTATATTTGTTTTGTAGATAATGTATTCTCTTACCAATAACTGTTGAAATGTTCAAATTAAAATTCAATATATATATATATATATATATATATATATATATATATATATACATATTGAATTTTAATTTGAACTAAATATATATATATATATATATATATATATATATACAATATTAATTAAATAAAATAATAATAGAAAATACGGAATATAAAGCTAAAATATACTATGTACTACCGACAAAAACAAGATTCAATCAACTCGATATACATATACTATATATATATTCCTCGACACAAAAAATATGAAACTGCAAAAATTAATTGCCATCGACACTAATCAACACAACTCAATAATTAAAATGCAAAATATGCGCAATTGAAGTGACATTTATAAATAAACTAAATTAAAGAAAAAAACTTCATAATGAAATTGATTATACACATATATATATATATATATATGTATATATATATATATATATATATATATATATATATATATAACCACACGCAAGATTGAATAAATAAATAACAATACAGAATATATATGTATGTGAAACTAAATTTTCCGCTCTCCGCAGGAGACCAAAAGGCCGTCGAAGGAGATGCAGGTGACAATCGCGAGGCAGTTGGGCCTGGAGCCGACGACGGTCGGCAATTTCTTCATGAACGCCCGGCGCCGTTCCATGGACAAATGGAAGGACGAGGATCCGAAGACGGTGGCGGTCGAGGAGGAACAATTGTCGCCCACGATAGGCATCGGACAGCGCCAACCGAGCGATGTTTTGTGACACACATCCGACCACGAGGAGTACCACGACGAGTCGCCCGACGAGGATCTGCCCTTCTCGTAAGGGCGGCGTACTACCTCGTGGACATATTCTTGTCGACACATTCGATCGATGAAGAGAGAAGGGAGATTTTCTTAAGCGCTATTTTATGCCAGGGCCTTTGTAAATAATCTCTCTCTGTTCGACGAACGGAATTATTGCCGGGATCAATTCGGAGCATAATTAATTTCTGAAATATTGAATATTATATTTTATTTATTTCATATTCGATTCGTTTGCTCGTTATTTATTTATACTTTTGTTGTTATCAAGATTAGCTATGTATAAAGCAAAATCGAAATTTATTTAATTACCGCCTCGGTCTCTCGGAGAAATTTTATTCTGTATAGACTTGGAAATTTAAAAAAAAATTTCATTCATTGCTGATTATATATTAATTTCTATTTATATGTTTTGATTGAGACGATCGCGAATTGTGTCGAACAAGAACGTCCTAGCCGCTGAATGCGATCGATCATTGTAGCTCCCGCGAATGCGAGCGCGAAATGATTCAAATCAGATCCCTTGCTACGATTCGGCGTTCTTTTCCTTTTTTACGCTGGTGCGTTCCCGAGTATTTACGATTGATAGATTGTATATTGTCATATTAAAGCTCTTAAGTCAATATTCAAAGTCGGGAAACGGACGAGTCGATTGTATCCTAAGAATGATTATATAAAACATTCCCTCCCTGTTTAATTTTTAACAAGAATTATCCTTATTTATTTCAACGTAATGTAATGTGTCGCAGTAATAAGTTTGCTGTTCCTCGTAAATAATTTCGTAATTTTAAGATAAGGACTCGCGTACGATAAAGATTCATTCGTATGTCGACTTTGAATACCTCGCAAACTCTGTGCCATAGTTTGCCATATTAGCATAAGTTGATCTGGACCTTTTGTGCCCGATTCTTAACATTCTAGTCTATCGTACTATGTTTTAGGAAGACCATTCGTCGCTTTAATTCGCGAGGCGGCTTCCCTTTTCTAGTCAAAACTCTAAAGTTTGAATTCTAAATCTGCTTTCGGTGCTGATAGCGCGCCAAGAAGATCGTTTCGAGAATGCTCACGTTTTTTTTTCGCGCGTTTAGAGTTTATTCGTTGCTCGAAATATGAGATAAGTTTAGTTTAGCGAGATAGTGATTGTTATCTTATTTCATAAGAGTAGAATAGTCGCTGCTTTAAAAAAGGATCAAGAAGGCAACCGTGTAATATTTGCGCTTGACGCGCGAAATTCTAAGCGCTCTGACAATCGAGTGAATATTTAGATAACACTCGTTTTCTACCTTTTCTTAACCCACTCGAGATCAATCGAAACTATGATGAGGGGCTACAAAGTTTATAAAAGCTCCGATACTCTATAAAGATACTAATTAAAGCAGCGACTTTAAGCGCGTGATAGGTACTAATTAAAAAGATCTTACTGTGCGTTGATTCTTTTAATATTTTCATTCGAGGCCATATGTATTTATAGCTTATTTCGTGTTTTGTTTTATCGAATAAATAGTTGCTAGATTTTCATATATTTATGAAAATCTATCGTCTATCGCGCGCGCGCCCTTTTTCATCGTTAGAAATTAATCCTTGGCAATTGAAATTGCCTTTTCCAAAGCTTAAACACTCGAATTAATCTCTCCGGTCTATTAATTTCCGAATGAAATTGCTCTTATACATAAGAGTTTCTTGCAAATGAAACAATAGCATCTAAAACGAGGAGCACAGTTTTATTTGTTTCTTTCTAGATATCCTATGTATGTCCTGTTAAACTAATTGAGAGGTTAATCGGCGCTTTTCCACAAGCACGAGTAGCGGTGAGGTTTGATGATGATCGCGCAATCAGCGGCGTCGAATGCGCGACCGATTCGTCGTGTCCTCGTTGGTCAAACGGAACGTGAACCAATTTTCAAAGTGGCTTCGTGTGAGGATGCACGTGCCAAGTGATATATATATATACACATATATATATATATACATATATATATATATATACACATACACACAATATGTATGTATAAACATGTACATCTCGGGAGTATGGACGCTCTTTTGTGCAAACCGATGGCGGGAGGGAGACGTGTGGAATGGGGGAAGAAAAGAGCGATTTTTAAAACGGATGGCCGCGCGGCCTCCCACAAGAGACAGAGACCGCGAGAATAAGTGAGAGCCTGTGAGAAAGAAAGCGAGAGAGAGAGAGAGAGACAGAGAAAGAGAGCGAGCGCGAGAGAGAGAGAGACTTTGCGAGCCGCACTCGATATCGTACTGCAATTGTGCTGTGCTATTGTACATATTTAAAAAAAAAAGAAAAAAAGGAAAGAGAGAACATACACGTATATACAGATAGATTTACACAGTCATACATACACACATACACACACACACACACACACTTTTATTACGTAAGCGACGGCGTTCGCCAAGCTGGGCGAAAACGAATCGGCGTGACGTTTGATTGCAGAAAAGCGCATTCTAGCCGACTTGCACTCTGCGTCTGTGGCTCTTGCGTAGCGAAAATTCTTTTGTGCTTCGACACACACACACACACACACACACACACACACACACACACACACACACACACGTCGCGATGTGGCGAGCGATGAGTTCTGCGAGATTTCGTTCGAGCGACACTTTACGTCACTCTTTCTTTTTTGCGTGATTGTGAAAGGATCATTTATGCTAGTCCGAGTAATTATACAGGGTGAATCGCCGAGATTTAATTGACAGAATGATTCAAAAGTATCGAGGGTATCGACGAACGAATTAAATTTCAAAAATAAATCAATATCTTGCATTCAGTAATTTGTCGGTATACACAATAATTCATACTCCATTTTCCTGATGTTTGGTAATAAAAATTTCAAAACGTGAAAAGAATTCAAAAAGGTGATTTTATTGAACTATTATCGAATCGCGCAAAATTGCGCTTATTTAAAATACATATATATATATATATATATATATATATATATATATATATACGTATGTATGTATGTATGACCTCATTCGTTGAATTAATTGAGATCACTTTGAGACCGAAAGAAGAGTGATTGTTTTATGCACACATTGGGATTGGTTTTCTTCGAAAAAATACGAAAAATCGCTCGATCACACACCGCTATTTTAGAATCGTTCGTCTCGCGAATGAAATGATGCGTCGTTTTTTCGCACTCGAATGTCCGTTGAATGTTGGAAAATTCGGCGATATTATCTACGGCATATGTTACTTAATTTATTATATTTTAGGATATAGGAACGAGAAAAATATGCATTACGTGCAGCATTCGCGTTCGCAGCTTTTCAAGCTACAGCAGTTCGTCATCGAACATGTAATTGTGTAACATTTTGTAAAGTTATATCGACCCTCCCTATTAGAAAGAGCGTGTGTGGCGACTCGAGGCATGTTACCACTTTTGTGTAACAACAACAACAACAACAATAACAACAACAACAATCTCCTCTCTAAAATAATTCAGATACACCGATCCACATTTTCTTCTCAACATTGCACGTTGTTTGATTAGCATTTCTCTTGACGCTATTATTTATTATTAATTTATCACAAACGACGTCAAATAAACGATTATTCCAAGCGAGCATCAGTTCTGAGTGTTTGAAGACTAGATTACCCGAATCAGCTCGGCTCGACGCGAGAAGGACGTTTGCATTATTTCCCGTTGAAAAAAATATAATCCTCGGTCTCTTATTTCAAAAGAAATGCGGAATCTTTTTCCAAGCAAGAATGAATCCAGGGAGAGACGCGAGCGGCCTCCTCGATCGTCGGTTTAAGATCGTATATAGTACAAAATAAACATATATATTGTAACAGTTTAATTATATATACATATATATATATATATATATATATACACATATGTATATGTATATGTATGTATATATAATCATACATATAAGGAGGACTGTTTTTCGGATGCGAGTGTTCAAAATGATAGGATCGATGGTAAATGACGAAAAAACCGGCGCGCAAATTTTCATGGAAATTCCCTCGTTCGAGACGATCGTGTCTTATTATCGGACACGATAAGACGCTCGAATATAAAAATTTTGCAATCGAGAAAAAGAAAATGATGGACGTCTTTTTCACGCTCCTTCTCGATAATTTTTGGATTTGTACGGTCACAATGATTAACTGATAGATATATCGTTAGAGTTTCTTTAATTGATGTCCTATAATTTAATTTCGTAATTTAAACGCTAATAAAGAGTGTAGATATTAATGTCACATAATGTGTCAAAGTTAATTTTTTTATTTTCTACCGAAATAAATATCTATAACGTTAATTTTATTATAAATGATTATTCCTCTACGAGACATATGTTTTATAATTGTTTTGGAAAAGAAAAATTATTTTAACGAACTATGACGTAATATCGAAAAGTCGAAATGTCATTTGATCGAGGCAATTTCGAGACACGTAGCACGCATATTTGTGCACACATACACACATACACACGTGGATAGAATCAATATGTATGATAAAAATGTAAATATAATTTTAGTCGCGGGAGGAGAGAAGGTTCATTATTACTACAATTATACTATTACTGACGGCAATGATTATTAATTATTAAGCGACGACAGACGCGAGAGTTTCTGTTATGTGAGAGAAAAAAAAATAAAATCAGAACAACGTGTAACAATGTAGCTAAGAAAGAGACAACACACGCCATAAGAATTAAAACAGCAAGGGAAAAGCGAGAGAGAAAAAGAAACGGAAAGGAAAGCAGAGAACGTAAAAAAATACATGTATGCATATACATATATATATTTATATATATATGTATGTATTAATATAAATGCAAATATAGATATAAATATAATATAAATGCAAATATAAATATATAAATATGGACATAAGTATAAATAAATTATATATTATATATATAAATATATAAATACGGATATTATTACCACCAACCACGGTGAACAGTGTTGACCGTCGCGAAGACGATTATCGAGCGATCTTTAGGTCGATCGATCGATCGATAACGACTGTTACGCGTCTTAAATTTGAGCATAAGAGACAGAGAGATTGCGGGCGAACGAGAGGGAGAGAGACAGAGAGAGTGAGAGAGAGAGAGAACGAGAAAATGTGTGTGTGTGAAAGAGAATAAAATTCGATGAATCTATTTATATATTGCGCCGAGAGAGGCTCGTCTCGATAGTTAGTTCGTTACGTGACACATATCCAGTGGATTAGAAACTATCGACTAACGACGACCACGTACAATACTAGGTGTCTATATCGATCTAGTTTCCACCCCACTCGCAGAGAATTTTTACTTCGTTTTTCCACGGGCAGGGGTAGAAGAAAAGAATCGGCAGAATTTACGACGGCATGAAAGAGAATTAAAAAAGGGAAGAAAAATAAAAGGACTCGATGTGATCATTTCCGGGCAAGAAAAGTCTCTCATTTTCATCCATTCGATGCTAAAGACGAGAGAGAGAGAGAGAGGGAGAGAAAGAGAGAAAGAGAAACGATATGATTCTCTAATTTTTCATTCTCTCGAAAAATTTTCATCCCTATCGCGATCTGTATCGCGACTGCTACCTCGGCTCGTCCAATCTTTCATAAACAAATTACGATTGAAAAGAGACAAAAGAGTTAACAAGGGAGAAGAGGAGAAAGGGAAGAAAAGTAAAAAAAAAGTGAAACAGGGCAAGAAAAATTTTTCAAAAGATTCGGAATAACGTTTTTTCTCGAACGAGGCGAAAAATATACAGGAAAGAAAGGAACAGAAAGAAAGCGATAAGAAAATATGAAAACAGTTTGTACGACAATAAGGTATCGATTAGTTAATCAGAAATGAAATAATGTAAAATACAAGTGCAAAAGCAGATATACATTATTATTATTATTATTATATATTATTATATATTATTATTATATTGTAACGCGAAACACTTCGCGTATAACGGCGTATACGTGAAACTGCTGGTTTTCACCCTCTGAATGCAAAAAGGAGGAGAGTAAACGACAATCGTAAACGCAGAACGATATGTCGGAGCTCCTGTCAAGAATTCGAAAAAGACGGTGTAGAGAAAAACCGGTACTAAAATAGCATTGTTTCCATTTCTTCTACTTTTTTCTATCCACCGTGAGAGAAAAGAGAAAGAAGAAAAGATAATAATTTTATTTATCCGATTTATATAATCCAAAGTATCGCGATCAATACCTCAAGTCCGGCGATAAACAACTTTAGGAATTGCAGCGATCATTCGCGTCACAAAATTAAAAGTCGGAACAATTCGACTTGTGCTTAATGGTCTTTCGTAGAAAATTATCACTTCAAATTGCAACGATAAAAAAAGGATTTAAAAGGAGGATTTGAGGTATTGACGTTGACAGGAGGACGAAAGTCGAGATGTCCATAATCGCGATGTATACCACAAGTCGAGCGAAACTGCAACAAAGAGGAGAAAGATGAGAGAGGGAGAAACAGGGGAACAGAGAGCGAGAGAGAGAGAGAGAGAGAGCGAGCGAGAGAGCGCGAGAGAGAAAGAGCGAGTCATTAATTTATTTACAATTATGTGTATCCGTTGGTAGGCAACAAAATGTGGTTATATGAGCCCGAGCGACTCTGTCGCGACGGTTTCCGGCGTACCATTGAATTTTCTCGCGCGGCGAGAGCGACGATCGTTGCTTGTGAAGATGACGGGATCGAATTCGCGAGCAAATTTGTGCGAGGCGCGGCAACAAAATTTCTTCTCTCGATCCGCGACCGAGAAGTCGATTTTTCTTCCTCGGATTTTTCGATAATTTTTTAATAACGCGGTTTCGACGATTCGATTAGAAAAAAAAAAAAAAAACAAATGGATTCGATCCCGGCGTTAACGAGATGTGCAACTATGTAATAGACACATCTTCGATCTCGAGAGCCGCGAGAGGACAAAGAGGCGATTGTAAACTAACAATGTTACTACGTTTTATCAAGAGCTTATTGTAGTCGAGAATCATTAACACACATACAGACACACACGACACACAAAACATGCAAACACATTACAACATTAAGTCAAGTAACAAGAAAAAAAAAACAAGACAACAATGGTATTGAGTGTAGCACGATAAAAAAACAAACGTTCTTTACACTTTTGCACGAGACGTGTGTTGTAAACTTAAATTAATTATTATTGACATATGTAATTAACGTTTTATTACTTAGCAATTAAACTTAATTTATTTCTGATTACTCGAGTCGCTTGTGTTGAGCGCCCTTGTTGTCGTTACTGGTGGATCGTGTGCAATTACGATAACCGATCGATCGATCGATCGATCGTGATGATCAAAGGCAAACGCTGCAATGATAACATTCTACGTTCTACTACGATTCGTCTACTATTCCCTGCATTTTTGAGGCGCAACTTATGCTTAAAAAGTAATGAAATTTTCATTAAGAAAAGTTATCAATCAATTGTTTCAATTTATAATAAAATCCTAATAGAATTTAATTCAATTAAAATGAAGTTTCAGGAAAGAAAAATAATCGAGATGAACTAATTTAACAGCAAAAAATATTACCAAGTTGACGAAATTTTTACTTACATTATTGATTATTTAATTATTACAAAATTCATTTTTACATAATAATTATTTAAAAATGTCTTTCAAAAATGTGGTAAAAATATAAATAACTAAAAATTAAAAATTAATTAATTATTTATGAGACAAATACAAATAAATTTAAATATGAATATCCCTCTCTAATTAAGAGAGTTATTCTTTTAATCTTATTTAGTTTATCATATTATAAATTAAATAATTAATATTTTTGAGAAATTTCAAGGAATAATGAAGAAGTGGCAATAATATATTTTATTTTTATCAGAATAATAATATATTTTATTTTATTTTGTTAATATAATCGCTAGAAAATTATTATATAAAAAAATAAAAATATCTCGGAAAACAGAATGAATCATATTATTTATCGCATTAGATTCTTCATAAAGCACTTTAATTAATTTTCATGCCACATATGGGATATACAGTATCCGTGTCATTATTTTTTATATACGTACACAACAATAATCATTATAAGTTGCAGCAGCCGCATTCTCTTAAATTGCGAGATGGAATTATCGATATTGTATAAATAAGCAAGTAGTTGAAAAAGAAAGAAAGAAAAAAAAACACTTATAGATTTTTATATTTTTATTTAACATCAAATTAGTCTCTAAAAGCACTGTGTAAGCATATATATGTGTATATATTTGTACGGAGCTCTAGTTATTAGAGAAACAGAAGACGAGTGAGCGAAAGAGGAAGAAAGCATGAATGTCGGTATCGTAATTTATTCGATTGATTAATCTAAAAATCGAAAGAAGGATTGCAATGAGATCGATGTTTATATCTCGAATTTATTAGTTCACAATACGAAGTTTTTTCGTAATCTTTTTTCCGAAAGTCTTATCATCGTTTTTTGGGAATAATAATTAATGACTTTGACAATTTATAAAAACGCGATAAATCAGTTGATATTATGTTTAATTAATTTCATTTTAAACGTATTTTATATACATATGTTAATTACTTTACTTCACATTCTATTCGCGCAATTTTAATTCACTGAGAATCTGACTCGGATTCAAATGCATTTCGATTGTAATGCGGCATTATAAAAATTATTCTTTCAAACTGTACTCGGGACGATCGCAAACGCTATCTTGATATTTTCGAAAATGAAAAAGAGTTTCGATTTGCATTTTCATTACGCGATTATTTTCTATTATCAAAAGAGCCACGCGCGTAGACGTAGGCGGATGAATGAATGCAATGAACGACAAAAGAGAGCAAGAGCGAATGACACATAGTAAAAAAATACATACCATAAAATTGTTAAAACGTGAAGTAGAGAAAATAAACGAGCAATAAATTGTATCAAGTAAAAGCAAAAGTCTTATTGCAACGCGGACACGTGTTTAAACGATTCTTTTATTATTGGTAGCATGCTTTTTAAATACAAATATTGATAATAATCATCTATTTTCATTAAAATGAAATATTTTTTCAAAATTACATTTTCCATGAGAATAATATCTATACAATATCTGTATACAGTAGAAAATATTTATTTATAATTGAAATTATTAATTTAAAACAATTAATTAATAATATTTGAAATTTTTAAACTTGAACTGATTATATCAAATATCATTTTTTGTTTTAGGAATATTATTTAAAGTACTACACATTAGTGGGACAGATATAAATTGTAAAAAATATTATAAAAGTAATTTTATATATATATAAGACAGTCATATATATAAAGACAGTCTTAAGATTTGTTAAAAAAGTTTATTTAAATGCAGCAATACCGGTAATTGCTCTCCCGAGGATTAACGCGTGAATGTCGCTTGTGCCTGTGAAAGGAAAAAAGAATACATTCGAATGACGCGTCATCATCATTATTGATTGCGTTAAATATCCGTCATTTCGACATAATCTTCGCGTACCTTCGTAGGTATTTACGGTTTCCAGATTCACCATATGTCTGATGACATGATACTCGTCCGAAATCCCATTTCCGCCCAGCATATCTCTCGCGGCTCGCGCAATCTCCAACGCTTTGCCGCTTGAGTTTCTCTTTATGACAGAAATCATTTCCGGAACGGCTCTACAGAACACAGAATCATTTTTCGCATATTCGCGGACAAAAATTTTCTGTACAAAAATTTTACATATTTATACATCCTTCCCTCAATGTCATTATAAAATAATAATTTTGCATCAATCTACATATTATATATAATTACATTATAAACATAATATTTTCATTTCCATTGTATACCGAATAATTGAAAATCCTCTTATTACGTAGAATATTATTATTCTAAAAAATGTGTATATTAATTTTGCTTTAAACTTGTCTATCCGATTCCAAGCAATTTTTACCTATTTTCATCTATCAATCTACCAATTCGCAAGCAAGCTTGAAGACCAATCGCAATGTCGGATATCATGTCAGCCAATTTCTTTTGAATAAGTTGATTGGCTGCCAGTGGCTTGTTGAATTGTCGTCTCTCCAGAGTATAAGATCGAGCAATCTTTAAGCAAGTCTCCGCCGCACCCAACGAACCCCAAGCGATGCCATATTTAGCATTGTTTAAACAACTGAAAGGCCCCTTTTGTCGAGTCATTATTATGTTGTATAAATATTTAAAGAGTCAAACTCAAAAGATTTCCGACTGATATATATGGTCAACGTTATGACAATGAATTTTTTAAAGATTTTAATCGCTGCTCATTGTTTGTTTTAACGAATTATTAATAAATAATAAATAAGAGTTTTGTTCTTCAATCATTTTTAATAAATAAAAACATGAAAATAATTTTACGATTCCATGGATTTTTGTAATTATCCATGCAAAATTCACTTCTGAAGATTTATTTTCTATTATCGGGATTTTACAGTGCCAAATAAAATTTAAAATATTTAATTCTGTCCACATATATTAACCAGAAATTTTTTGGGTTTGACAATACTCAAATATATATTTACTAATTATTCTAATTTGTCTACAATTCAGCTATATATCTTTTTTATCGTTATTTAAATATTCTAATGATGACAAAATTAATGAATTATACAATAAATAATTTATCGAAATAAATAACAAAAAAATAATATGTACATAAATCCCTAGTTTGCTAAAAAGTTTGACATACTTTAAGTCCTTGAACATTCAGCACATTTTCCTCGGGCACAATTACGTTGTCCATCAGAATCATTCCAGTGATGGACGTTCTTAGAGAAAGTTTCCCTTCAATTTTTGGAGTAGATAATCGATCTCCTGCAGCCTTTCTATCAACGATAAATCCGCGAAACTGATTGTCATCGCATTTCGCCCATACTATTAATATATCGGCGATGGGCGCGTTCGTAATCCTAAATGTGATATTGTGAGATTCTTCCGATCGCTAGAGAGTAGTTTTCAAGCGAGCATGTAAATAGAAAGTATTTGTTAAAACTAACCATGTTTTGCTGCCATTAAGTTTGTAAGTCTTTTTATCAGAATCGTAAGTCGCTCTAGTTTCCATGGACTCTACGTCACTACCATGATTAGGTTCCGTCAAGCCGAAACAGCCGATTATTTCGCCGGAAACTGAAATGCGCCTTAAAAATTATGACCCATATCTCCGACAAAAATTATTATATATTTAATTAATTTTTTAGAAAAATTACTTAGTTTTAACCTAGTCTTTATAAATATTAAATTTAATTATTTTGATCAGTTCATTTAATTCAGTAAATTATAATTTTTTTTATTTCTGAATTGTTTTTCATATTTTGGAAATTATACTATTGTTCGAAAGTCTTAAATCCTCCCTTTCCTTATCTTACACGTTTTAGAAATTAAAATTCTGTAATTATAATTTTATTTTAAGAACCGAATATTTGCACATACCCAGTTTAGGCAAAAATCGCTCCTTTTGAGAATCGGTACCGTGCATATAAATCGCACCACACGAGAGAGAAGACTGTACCGATAACGCGGATCGATACCCGCTATCAATGCTCTCGATCTCCTTGGCAAGAAGCCCGTACGCTATCGAGGATACCCCGGCAGCACCGTAACCCTTCAGAGTGCATCCCAATACCCCTATCTGGCCCATCTCCCTTATAATCTCCCGGTCAAAATGCTCCTTGCGATTCGCCTCGATTACGCGCGGCAACAGTTTCTCCTGACAATAAGAACGAAACTGATCTCTCATCAGAATCTCATCCTGTGTCAGCTGGGATTCCAGATCAAACGGATCCTCCCAATTAAAAATGGCTGCAAAATGCAATTTGTTTCAATAAAAATAAATTAAAAAGTTCATTAATATTACAAGTTAATTGAAAAATAATTTATGTAACAAATATTTTCCACATTTATTTATTATTAACATAATATTTTCCACAATTCACAAAAATTTTAATAAAAACATATGTTATGTAAAATCATAATAATGTAATAATAGAGCGTAATAAAATGTTAGAATATATTTTATCAGTAAAGTCAGTTATCAATAAATATAGTAAAATCGACCGAATCAAATAAACTACCGGCCGAGGAAAGCCTTTATTTGTGCTGCTATCTAGGTTCATTGCGTACGTCTTCAGTAGAAATTATCAGTATAAATCATCAGCATTAAGTTGTTTGTCTACTTTTATCTAGCTCTATTCTTAAAAATAGATAAATTAATTTAAAAGAAAATTAATCCAAACAAAAAAGCTCTGACAGGCTAATTACAAAGCGAATAAGAGGCAGTAAGAATCAACAGTCGATCAATCTTAAAGGTGACATGTTCGATGGATGACAAATGTAAATCGATGTAAATCGAATTTCGATTCATATTTTGTTTTAAAACTTGATGATATTTTATATGCATTTTTATTTAATTATTTTTAAAATATCGTCAATAAGTTTTTAGTTAACGTTAAATATATCTTGTGCTGAGAACCCAAAAAGAAGAGACCAAAACGTTCGCAATCATAATATGCAATAATTAATGTAATAATTGGAGCACTTTTATTACCTGGCTCTTGTTTCCTCTTATATTCGCTTTGTACTTTGAAATAAATTATACAACTTACGTTTTGATTGAAGTGATGCGGAGACAGAGATCTCTGATCAGGATTTAAGGACAATGTAATGAGTGAATACTTGATTTATGTGATTTAATTAGCAAACCAATTTAATTAGCTAGTCTTGAATAAATTTCTAAAGGATACGCCTTGAGGGATTAACGTGACACACACGACCGATTCTCAATAATAATCTCCGCATATTATTCGCCATGTTGAGCAACGGTTGATAAAACACTGACTTGTTGACACTGACTTGTTCTTAAGAAATCACCTTATCAGATACGTCTAGAAACGTAACGAGTGATTGAAAAGACTGTATTTTATAAATATTTCAATATTACTTTAAATATTTCAATATTACTTTAAATATTTATTGAATATATTAGATGAATACAACTACTCAGCAGTCGATGACTTGTCAGCTGTTGTCGAAAGCGTTGTGACCATTAAATTCTATATACATAGAGTTTAGTGTTCGTAACATTTTACGTTATAATTGACTGAGTTTCTAATTGGCTCACTAGAAACTTGGAGGTAAATTTGAATGACTGTTAATTCTTTAAAGCACTACTTTTTATTGCATATGATTTTTATCCAAAAGTTTTTCTTAGCAGATTTAAATTTTAATGATTTTTAAATTAAATTCAGATTTTTGTAAAAATCAGTAAAAATTGCAAGATGTTTTTGCGTAGGTTCTACATTTTATTTCCAAAAATTCTTTTGCAGAAAATTTATATACAATTCGATGTTGCGAAAACTTTCTATTTTTGTATCTATAATAAACGAAAGGATAGTCATTAAAATAATGTAATATAATGATTCAAATTTATCGTAAAAATATAATAGTGAAAATACAATAAATCTATATTTCATTAGCTTCAATTAAAAATCTACGCACTAATATTAATTACGCATATTTTAGCGGACGGATTTTTGTTTCAGTCTAACTTTTTCCTGTTTTTAATATAATAATGTATATACTCTTTTGATATAACTTTAAAGAATTTTAGCTTTTCGTATGTATGTAGCTTTTCAATGATAATTTTATATCACTAAGATTTAATTAGAATTTTCGATTAATTTTCCTGAACAGATTCTCTCGTTTTTAGATTGTTCTACTTCGAATAATTATTCTTATCCGAAAATATATAACGAGGCATATTAAATTCGAGAAATCTCAACAAAGAAATAAACAAGAAAAAAATTGGCGCGTATAACACATTGCTTAGTTTGCCCTATAAACTTTTCAACTCGCGATCTGCAACTACCCCGAGAGAGACATGCGTCAGGTTAAAATTATTATATTCTTACAAGGCCAAAACGCACACAAGGGAGACCTTTACACTTACTGTACTTAACTCTTGTCGCATATAACAGTATTGCAGATAATTTAACGAAATTCCTTGGCATTACTATTGCACGAGTAAAACTCAGACTACAAAAATAAATCTTCCTAATCATATGCGATATAGATTCAATGCTATCATTAATATTCTGATATATTCATATTAAAATCTAATATATAAATTATTCTTTTTTATCTCGCGTAACAACTTTGCATTCGGACATATCATGCCACAAGAATCTTTATCTAGAATTAGACATCTCCTCGAGAGAGTATATGTAACTCTCTATTTAGATAGTAATAATACTATTAATGCATTTCGAAGCGCATTTGCTCGTGTCATGTGTTGAAAAAGATACGAAACTCTGATAACGATATACGAATTTGATTCGCCGTTGCAGGATCGTTGATTATACGACCAACAGGTCCTCCTTTTGATAAGGACCATCCGGCAGTTTCTGATTGAATATGCGAATATTGTGGCAGAGGTAACCCATCGCCTCCATGATCGGCCGGACAATCGCATGTGTCACCGCCGCAAAGAAATTTCGCGTCGCCGCGCACGTGATTTTCCACACGCGCAGACATGGCGCGACGCACCATATATGCTGCAAGGAACAATCAAGGTAAAAGAGTGCGGAAGAAAAATTATCCGGTAATAATAAAGGAACAAGCGCTAAATAAGAATCTAAATTATATTGCAATTATTTATAATAATTATAAATTAGAGAATTCTGTTTTAAGATAATAAATATGCAGTAATGTAAACAAGAGAGAAAAAGTATTTAATGACATTATTATAGAAATTATTATAAATGGATAATTATTATTATCATAGAATAAATCAGTAATACTAATATTACAATAATGGAAAAATGAAAAGTTGTTTAAATGAAAAATATTTCATTTTTTAAGTCATTAAAAAAGATGTGAAATACAAATATTTAATGTCATTTATTTTAGACTTTTGTGTATCAAATAATGAATATCAAAATTTTAAAATGCAAAAGACACTAGCTTGATGTCTTTTGAATATCTAAAAAGAGATTTAAATATTTTTATTTAATACATATATTCTTTCTCTCTTATTGTTATATTATTAAACATCTTTAAAAAGTCAACAATTACTTGTTTTATTTAAAGTTACTAAGTAGATATTAAATTTTAATCTATATTAAATGTGTATGTGTTATAGTCATTAATTTTGCAAACTTGATCCAATCTTGCCTCAGCAAAGCCCGTAACATGTTCTACCCACAATAATTAAAGAGCAACTATATCGTGATACACGTGTAGGATATCTAAAATCGATCGACTCAAAGAGGAAGAACGCACGCGACTCGGAGGAGGTTATCGACTCTCACCTGAAAAGCGAGGCAGGCGAATGTGAAACCCAAACAGAGAGCTAGTATAGGCGCCACGAGAACGGAGAGAAGCACGTAACAACATCCTCTGGAGAGTCGGAAACAGTGTCCACTCAGACGCCAGGCGCACTCGGGACTACGGATTCCTTCCGGTTCTCCGATCACATCGTCCCACATCACCTGAGTATGTGATAAGTCACGCTTGTGTAAATCGATTAATCACGCCGTTAAATTGATAAATATGCGCGCGAATTTTGTGGGACGGACAATCATACGAGCCGAGAGAATAAACGTCATTACTTTGTCGCAGGTAAAAGCTACGACTAAAATCATGACTCAATCTAAAGTTCCATTAATCTACGTTGGCGACTATCGATCTTCAATTACTAATTTTCGAGGAAATGTAGGTTACGGCTTTCTTATCAATGTACTAGATAATTTAAAAATTCAATGCTTCATTTATTTTCTTCAATGAAAATAATAAATCCATTTGTGATAATCGCATCAATAAGCACAAGCTTATGGATTAAAATTGAAATGATAGTTCATTTATAATTGTATCATTAAATTGCGGTACATTTTGAATTCACGATGCATAGATTTCACTCATGCTTTATAGAAAAACAAGAACTATATATCATGCTTTTAGAAAAGCATCTAAAATTGTAAAAATAATTTTAATAAGACATAATAAAATATAAGAATAAATTTGAAGAAGAATTTTAAAAATTAATTAATTAATTTAAAAGCCATTCACTTTCGTTAATTGAAAAGATAAATTATACCGCTACAATTAATATATGATTTAATCATCGCGAATAAACATCCTTTCGCAGACAGAGACTCCTTTACCTGAAGATGCTGGTTCAGGCTGTTGGGGTCCCGATCCTCGAGCTCGACGGCGCTCTCGCCTCCCGCGGAGGACTCCGGCTTCTCCATCCCTGGAATATGGATAGCCGGACATTTGGGCATGACACAGCAGAAGCTGTTCCTGAATCTCGCCAGCATAGTTCCCGAGAACTCTACGTACAGTCTGCTCCTCTTTTCACTCGCACGAAAGAGAAACGACTTCACGTGCCGCGACGCGCGGTTTTTCCTGCCTCCTGGCGCGGCACCATCGCGAAAATGACGGCTGTCGCGGAGGATGTACTATCGCGACCGGTATACGTATCCATAAGCCATCGATTATTCCCGTTAAATAATAAATCGCGCGTTACCACGACTGGCTGCGGCACGGCCCTCGTCGAGAAAAAAGGAAGAGGTGGTGGAGGAGAGCGGGCGATCAAGGATGCGCGACACGCGTCGACCGCGATCAAATGCCATGCAGAACTCGAGGGGGAGATATTTCCGTACAATATCCCTTTCGTAATCGCGTGATATATCGATTCGAGACGCCAGACGCTACCCTTAACTTCTCGCCTTGACTTCAAACTGTTGCACCCGGTCGGATTCTATAGCGAAATTATGTCGCGAGGTCACGGATTTTCTTTCTATAAACCGCTGCCGAGGATGACGCACTGGGAAATTAGACGAATTAAAAATATCGTCAAGCATATATTTAATTCTTTAGAAAGTAAAAGACTATTAAAGGGGGAAAAGAGGAAAACGATTTATTATTTAACAATTTTTTTTTAAACTTCTTCTGCATATCTTAAAAAAAAAATACATGTTACGAAGACAAATATATACGTGAAATTTCTTTCTTTAAAAAACTACATTAGAAGCGGGGAGGTTTGGGATTGAAAAAATGGCGCGACATAAGCTTCGTCCTACTTTTCGCAGATCCGTATCTACCCCCATGAACGGTTCACGCTTTACGACGTGATTATCGACTCGCAAAAAGTTTCGAGTTTACCGAGTCCGATCATACTTGCTCTTTCTTCCTATCGCGCTCCAACGCAAACTTGCTCGTAACTTGCGTCCAATTAATAATACATGCCTCCATTATACGACGCACCACTATGTGTCCAACAAAGGCACAAAGTGGAGCTCGGCCGATCGAATTACCCTCTTCACATCATTAATTATTTCCGCAATTCTATTCCTCGCCACGTTCTTAATCACAGTCGTTGCATTACGACAGAAAAACATTACGAGCGTTCGAGGCGATCACATTTATCTTCCTCCCTTTTCCCTGTTTTTCCCGTAGCAATTTATTAAGATAAATGACTGACAAATTTTAGGGGGTTAAAAAAATCAACAATTCTTCTAAAAAGATTCCTCGAGATCGAGAAAGCAGGATTCGCGACTCGTTTTCCAGAAATGATACTCACTCGGATCGCCGTTCGCCACCCTGGAGCCCCTTATTTTGCCGGTTGTTCGCGAAATACTGGAAGCGAGCCCTATTTCCCGATTGTGGCACACGCGTCGCCTCACACTTTACGAGAGTAAAGTAGTATTCGTAGTACTCAGACGCTATACTTGAGCGCTATAAGCGGTTGAAGAATAATCCGAGGCATCCTAAGAGAAGTGGACAGCGGTCAACGCGGCTGCGCACTCGAGGGTTTCAACCCCTTGCGGTCTCTCGTCATTTCTCGGCAGGGTACAACCACCCCGAAACGAAAGTGAATGGCTTGTACGAGCGATGTAATTCCGATACGGAAGAAAGTAATCTCATTAAGTAGTAATACGATACATATGCAGCTAATTAGAATATCGAAGAAAAGATTATTTGAGAAAAACATTGGAGTCAAATTTTCTGCTTGGAAATCTTCCACGCAAAGAAATATTGCCGAATATTTTTAGATGAAAATTTTAGGTCGATTCCAATTTCTTATAATCGTAACAAATAAAAAAGTTAATTAAAAGTAGACGAATAAAAATTATAATTAAACTCTTTTCATTTATTATATGCTTTAAGTATCGATTGTAGTCTCTTTTTCATTGCCGATATTATTCAATTAATATTAATAATCGTGATAATTAAGTTGACGATATTAATTTATTATTTTATTATTGTCATTGTTTCTATTTATATGCATATAGTTTATTATCATACATAAGATATTTATATTTCCTCTTTTAATCAACAGATGGAGTCTGAAGTATATATATTGTGATACACTATACAACTTTACCAACGGATCACATAAGACAATCAATCAACAGATTTATAAAAATTAGTTTATAAAAAAAATTCTATTTTTTTTTGTGATAACTTGATAACTTTTTTTAATCAATTGATTTTTGTCAATTGCAATCTATGTATTATTATCACCTGTCTACCATTGTTATTTTTGTCATAATAATTTACATAATAACTTTATAAAAAATTAATAGAGAGAAAGTTGAAAATCTATTATATTTTATATAAGAAATTTCCTCTTTTTTCCAATATATTAAATTATTAAATTCTGTCATTAGGATAAAAACGATGAGAGAGGATGGGTTATTACGATGGAGGTCTTTGACAAAAATGCGTCTCGCCGCTCTCGTCGATTCTGACAGGGACCATCGACGCGAACAAACGCTGAACAAAGCGGGATGGCGGTCCACCATGTGGATGATGGGACAGATAGATGTGGGAGAAGGGAGAGACACATGAATGGAAGCTGACGTGTAGAGTATTATAATGGACATTCCGGTACACGCGATGGCTTAAATCAGAATCTGCAAATCCGAGAGTTGCATAAGCACGACAGTCACGACAGACGTCCCGTCACGATCTATAACGGGCCGTACTTTTACCGCTCGTAGGTGGAAAAACGCTGCACAATCATGTCGTCTTCGTGATTTTGCGTCGAGAGTTGCGAGAGCGAACTCGTGGCTGCTGCGCATCCCTCGCGCGTAATTTGCTTCCAATTTATATCTCCGATTCAACGCATGATTAGCATCGCCAATAGAATTTCCCTTATTCGATTTATTTTTCTCTCTGTAAAAAATTTCTATATTCAAATATCTTTTCAACTAACTTTCCTGACGCATTTCATTGAGATTTATGAGCAAATGCCAAGTTTATTAATTCAATCGAATCACATTTTAAATGGACATAATTTTTTCTTATAAAAATGGACAAGTTTCTACGTTTATAAAATAATTAATTTCGTAAACAACGCATCTGTTTCGAATTAAGAATAATTATATGCCATTTCGTTTAGACATCGCGACTTGCGTCGCTTAATTTCGAGGGCGTGTTTCCGGCCCCTAATGCTTACATATAAATAGAAACCTAGAAATAGAAGGATTAAAGATATCACGCTTATGCTTTTCTCTTCTCACTTCCCTTTCTAGGAGATCATGAAAAATCCCCATTTTCTTACGTCACCCCCGTAATCGCTGAGTCACGCCATTCTGTCACACCCCATGGAGCATCGTAAACATTCATCACCCCCGTTTGCAGCTATCGAATAAAATTGTATTTTCCGAATAGCCTTTGAAACGTCAATGTATACGAAATATCGTGAAAAAGCACAATCGTAGCACAATCTTTTAAATGATATAAAAAATAATAAAAATATAATTGATGTAAAATAAATGTGAGATATATTAAAATTATACTCGAGGAATTAAAATTAATCGAAAGGAATTTAATTCAAGGAATTTAATTCAAGGAATGAAAATTAATCGAAAGAAAATAATTTTTCAAAATTGTGAAATTTCTAAGAATTTTTTCAGAATTCGAATTAAACAATTTTGATTTTTAAAAATAGAAGTAAACTTTGTCTTTTCTTTTTAATTTTATTCTTGTGTAAAAGACTGTCAATTTAGACCTTTCCCACGTCATATCTCGAATTATCGAATACCTCGAGCATGATTTAAACACGGCGCCACACAACAAGATGTAGATCTAGCTAGTTTGGCGAGCGGCACGACCGGGCTCGCCAAGCGTGTCAATATGTAATTCCTCCGGTTATGAAACGAAAATTTACGAGCACAAGGCCGCCCTGTGCCATTATCATAAGCGAAGAAATTAACGTAATCGCAGTCACGACGGCCCTTTCAATTCAACTACTCAATAGTGGCGGCGGCGGCGGCGGCAAACGAGATATATAAAACGTGTAATTCAAGATTTCCCATGGATCGATTCTCGTGCCTGCGATCAGATTTGAATTGCGTCAATGCGCGCGTTGCATAATGATCTGTGTAATATGGCATAACTCGGCGCAACACGCCCGCACGTTGCATTCGCAATCTCGCAAACGATATTTCTATTTTACGCGGAAACCGATATATCGCGATATTATCGATTTATTGTGCATTATTATGCTTTTTATAGCCCTTTTTGCCGACACTCGTTGATTTATCGAGGAAAACTTGTCATATATTGTATACAAGATATGTATTGGAGATAAATATATAGCGTGTATATGTGTGTATGTATATTTATCTCACGTAAAAATATTTATAACACGAAAGGTTACACTGTAAGAAGTAACAAATTCAAACTATTGTGTGGTCGAAAATTATCGCGTCGTCAGTTGTCATCCTTGTGTCTTTCTGGAACGTTTGATTTTCTGCTGTTTCCTGTTCAAGTGTAACAAAGATTGTTTGTACGTATATATATATATAGCTCTTTATTATTTGTGGAATAAATGCAAAGTGTCTGATAAATTACAAATAAACTATAAAAATGTGTTATATTGATAAATTTATTTTTTCTCGTGAGATTTAAATTTATATCATATATATACGATCCTTATTTCTATTTTTCTTACTTGTAATATTTTTATTGTTATTTCGATTATTTAAAAAATTCAAAATGTTGTTGTGTAATCATTTATAAAAAATAACAAATAACCAAACGTATCATTCAATCGATATGTAAATGCTAGTAATTAACTTTGTATTTTATCATATGCAATTCGAACTCGTTAATAACTGCTTTTCAAAATGATTATATATATATATATTATATATATATATATATATATATATCTCTTAATGAACACGTAATAAGTAATATAAAGAAATTGGAATCATTCAAGATATTTTATGCGTAGCATAAAAAATTAATTGAAATTTCAAATTTAGCCGGCATTTAAATGCAGTACGTCGTAAATACATTTTTTTTTCAGGGAATTGTCAAAGATGGTAAAAGAAATTCAGCGCATCCAAGTTAAAGCATCCAAGCTTTTTGTTCCTTTAAAAAATACTAGAAGGGATTCTTCCTCATCGGAATTGAGCTCAACTGAATCTTTTACATCCTCCTCGTCAGAATTAAGTTCATTTACATCTATTACCTCTTGCAGTTGCTTAACTAGCAGTACAGATGAATGCGATTACTTAGTGTATATAAACAAGAAAGAACAAAAAAATGGCAGAAATCTCACAAATGAGAATAAAAAAAAATTATCGAAAAGAAGAAATCCGTCCAAAATGTCTACAACAACTTTGAAAAAGCTTGGAAGCAAGAAAAATTCAAAGGAGAAAACACATGAAGTACCAAAAAGTATGTTAGAAAATTCGCATTATAAATCTAAATATATCGTAATTCAAATTTTAATTATAATAGTCGTATTATAAATCTAAATATAACAATCTTTAAATATAACATAATCTCTAAATATAACATAATCTAAATTGTAACTGTACTAGTAGCCGTTAAATTACTTATTCCGACTTGTTCATGATTAATTCGTCTATTTATTAAACATACATTTCTTTCAATAGAAAACAAAAAAATTTTAGAAAATTCTTGCTTATCTGATTCTTCCAATAATTGCGATTGCAATTCTTGTTACACGCACTGTGACTGCAAACATTACAATGGTAAAAACAAACAGGAAAATTTAAAAAATAAAAATAAACGTAAAAAGATAATGTCCTCGAAAAGTAGAGGACAATTTACGAAAGTTGCGACAACTTCTGAATCACTTAAAAATAGAAAAATTTCGAAGAAAGACGCAATAAAATCTTCTGAAAGTATGTACTAATTCATGTGCATCTAATTAATTTACGCATTATCATTTTATTTCTGTATTAATTAATATGTGTATTTTATATTTTATATATGCATTTCTTTTATACAAATCTGTTTTTACAGAAAAGAAGACTAGCTTATTCGATTCCTATGGTTGTAACTGTAATTCACGTAATACGAAATGTGCAAAAGGATCCTCGAGAAGTTTGAGAGATTGGAAAAAGTCTGTGAGAAATGCGAAATCACTCAATAGTAAGAAAGTTTCAAGGAAGACAGAATCTTTTGAAAGTACGTTGAAAATTTATGTACGTCTAACTATCTCAATCGAGAATGTATATAAAGTGTTTGAACTTTTTTATTTTTATGTTGCATAATTTTTTACTTAATGTTTACTTACTATACTATTTCACACTTTTTATATCATTATCCTACTTTTACGTAAAATTGTAGAATATTATTTTGTTTCACTCTTTAAGATTAGACTTGACAAATTTTAATTATTACAAGTCTAATTTGATTACTTTACTAATTTTATATTGATTCTTTGCATAAATTCTTATTTTATGTTTTAAGGACATTCGTCGTCATTCTCAAGCGAGGATACTGAATATGAATTTTTCAGCAGTGATGAAGATTCCCGTGATCATTGTTGCGGAAATATTCGTGAATCGCGTCGTAAAATAAAATATTAACTACGGAAATTAATCGATAAAAAAATACTATTATTCAAATGTATAATTCAACATGTATAATTATTTATTGTATCGTACGTTAACAAATATTTATTGTATGCATAGGAAAAATTGATAAAAAATTATTTATTGTAATATTAGTTATTATGTTATTAGTTATTAATATTAATTAATTTTTATTACGCTTAAAAGCATTGCGATAAAATTTTATAGTGACATTTCTCATTTTATATTGTATTAATTAATCTTTCCCAGAAGAATGTAAATTGTAAAAATGTGTGATTAATAAAGAACCCTATATTATCTCAGAAATATAGAAACATCCTTATATTTGAATACAAACTCAATAATAATTTAACGACAAAATAAAATGTAATTTTTTTTCTGCTCGAGAAAATGCCATTTTCATGGAATAAATGTTGTGCGATAGCTTCAAATATAAGATGAAAATTGTTAAATCGGAATTTATCGCGATGAAATTATTGGGAGAAATAAAATTATATTTTGCTCCTTGCCAATACTTGCAAAGGGCTTATACGCATTTCAATTGAAACGATGCGCAACTGGAATGTGATTACGTAACGCAGATAAAATCAAAATAACAGATTACTTCACACCTCTGACTGGGAGAGGAAAACAGGACTGAAATCTCGCGCAATGATATGTAAATATACATATATTCAGATAAGATTGTCTACGTCGCACGTAACGGTTCGCACACGAGCGTTCTACATGTTATATGTGTGTATAGATAGAAATGCTATTATCGTGCGAATAATAAGATATGAGCGATACAATCTTGTTGATCTATTTCAGCACGGAAATAATATTTTATTACTGCAAAAAAATCATTTAAAATTACTAATGAGGAGAAAAACAGTAAAAAAAGTTTATCGATGTTTGCTTCTTTCCCTATATAATAATTATATTATATAATAATTAAATATCAATCATTGAAACATTATAAAAGCAATACTTCTTTTTATTGTTGAGAAAAACTTGATTATTTCAGATCAAAAGGTAAACGGAAAGATTCGACAATTGTTGGCAGAAACGTCGAGTGGAGTTAAATAGAAGCGAGAATGTCTAAAAACGTCGAAAGGCAGATTTCTTTCGAGAATTATCACGAGAGCATTATTATATTCCGATTACGGCACTAAAAAGTTGGAGGAAAGAGAAGAATAATGCGCGGGAAAAATCTCTGCGAAGAGAATCGGTCACGTGCGTCTGTGCGTTTGTGCAACGTGTTGTTATTGGGTTCATGGCCCGGCTCTACCTTGCCACTGCAACTAGAAGTTGTGACATAATAGACTCTCGCCAATCACCTACACTGCGTTTGCGCTAACTGCAAGTCCCGAAAGCGCATATAAATATTATATTACAAATATGTAAAAATATTACACGTGAAAAGAAGAGAGGAGAGAAAATAAAAATATGTACACTCTATGAACAAGATATTACACATATGTAAATATGTGTGAAAAATACTGGAAGAGAAATTTGGAGATCTAATGGATATCTAATAAAGCTATTTAAATGTTTATTAATTCTGGAAATTGTGTAATTTTTTTTAATTACGCATTTTTTTTTACTTCAATTAAATTTTTTTTCTTCAGATTAATATCTGCCTTTCTCCGGCTAAATTTTGAAAAAAATAATCTAATAAATTAAATTACTTTAGAAAAATTCAATTTAATAAACTAAATTACTTGGATGTCACTCATAAAATTCTGTTTATGTTAATTTGTGTAATATTCCAGGGGAGAAAGTAAAGTAAAGTGGAATTATACGAAGAATCGCTAGAGAATCAAGCTCGCACTTGCCGAATCTAGGACGTGAGGAGAGTAACTGTTTATATTAACATTGCGGTCTTCTTTTTCTCCTTGATGACGCAAGAGCATCGCTTCGAAGACTTTGCGGGGAATATATAAATGTTTCGCGTTTTATGGGGCGGTGAATTTCCCCGATGATTACACGGTAACGGCCGTGTAGGATAATGAGAATTAATTTTAGATCGCAGGCTTCTATTCGCGGCGAATATTTCTATCGCTAGGTTTACCGTTAACGATAATTTAGCTCGTTTGCGGCTGTGCGTTACGACATTTCGCTTAGGCTAGCTGCTTACGCGGGTTGAGTAAGACAAACTCCACAAAGGTCTCTCTCCGACGTCCAGTCACATTGTCCGGGAATCCAGGTGGGTGCACTTATGCTCGTATAATGGCAATGCTTATGGCATATAATTAGTATCTGAGTTACGTTATCGTGGTCGTTCCTTGGCCTCCTCGCCGAGCTCAGATCAAAATCGACACGTCTAAGAGTTGTTGCAATAAATATTTCCCATGTGTGTCTATCTGTCGTATTTTTGCGGAAAATAAATTTTCAAATATATCATTTAAACAAAATATACTATTTGCGATACTTTAAAATATGTATCAAATATGAAAGTCATAATTTGATAATTTCAAGAAAGAGATATAAATTTAAAAAATATATATAAAATATAGATTCGACAATAATTTCAAGTTATGAATTAAAAATTCCTTCATGCATATCGCGATGCAAGAATTCGTGAGAGGGAAATTAAAATTTTCAACAAACATATTGACAAATCTTATAAATAGAACGCGATTATACGTGAACATTCATATCCTTCTATCAAATAATTCATAAAATTATCAGATAATATTACTTTCTCTCTTCATCTCCTCAATCAACTCTTAAGAAAGAATATGAAAAATTAGTTGAAAAATCTTTATAAATCATTCCTCGTGTCAATATTAATTGTGTCGATTATGAAATATAATCACAGTGAGAAAATCCAGAATTTCGCTTGTGATTGTTTTCAAATTATTTCATAAAATTCCGCACGTTTTAAATACGGATTTACACGCGTCAGATGCATCCGTCAGAGCGCACGAAATGCGCTTCTTGCGCAGGGCGCATCGCTTCCTTCATAAGGCGGGCTATTTTTAAGCTTTAAGAGCACATTGCGCTCCCGTTATTTATGGCAGGCAACTGCGATGAGCATCTGTCGCGCGAACGTAATCGAAAAGTAAACCAGAAAAAAACACAGAGAAAGAATTTGCATTTCTTTCACGAAAAAAGTCAAAAGTTTAATTCGTAATCTACACATTTATTACAGAAAACTCTAGTGTATATATTTAAAATACTTATTTTATTATTCCAATATTGGTTACATCAAAATTTTTTTCCAACGTACCAAGATAGGAATTGTTCGCTTGAAAACGCGCGATTACACGTGCGCATTGTGTCCGTTTTCACAAATCGTTCCGTAACACTGAGTCACGCGTCTGTCCCGTGGACACCAGTATGTCGGTACAGAATCGCGACTGTATCGTAGATTTGCACGTGCTCACATGTCGCGTCGGCGCCCTGACGCACGACTTTTATCGAACACCGCCCGCTATAACGTGACCCCCCGTACACGTGGTGCACACGAGATTCTTACATAAGAAATACTTGGATATATTCTATTCCGAGAAAGCCATCGCGTCTCAAGACGTCCACGCGTCTTTCGCGCGAGATGCAATTGAATTCGCTCTTTATAAGCGTGACATCTGTATTTTCGCGGTAGCCGCGAAATGGAGTGGATCTTAATCTTAGGCTTGCGTGAAGCAAAAAGACTCTTCTTTTTTATTGAAAATAATTCTGAGATTTTCTGCAAAAAATATAATGTATATTTTTATGTCGAAATGTAATTTTAATGTTTTATATTGAAAATATTGCAAGGATTCGTGAAATTAAAATTTTCACAATATTTCGCAAACATATTTTATATTTAACATTTTATTTATTTAAAATTTGTTATTTATTTATCATTTTAATGTAAAATTTTTAAATATAATTTTATATCGAAAATAGAAACACTCTTTTTCAGTCTTTTCCTGCTATGTTTTTTTAAATTTTAATTTTATCAATATGTGAGATTTGATTTTTATATTAGTTTCAAAAAAAATTTCCCTCTATTTAATTAAAAAATTGTTTAATTTAAGAACGTAGTTATTAAATTTTTTTGGTACTATAAAAAAATAATTTTGGAGAATAAAATAAACATCTTCATTTAAAATCATAAGGATAAATATATTTTCTGAGAAACCTCGTTAAAATTAAAAGTAGAAATTGTGTCATTCGGTAAATGAGAGGGCGAGTAACGAATAACCTTTTTAACGAGATGCAAAGATATCTCCTTCGCTCTTTACGAAAAATCTCTGCATAAAGACACCTACGCGTTTACATATAATATTATGTTCGCGTACGAGAATGATTATTTTCATCTTTCGTTCCTTTGAGGCCAAGATATGTAAAAAAGAAAAGTTTGTCACAAAGAGATTAGATCGAACGTTTCTCGAGCGTTTTGCATAATTAAAATATGCTCGCGGCTGATTATTTTCGAAATTATAATTGGCAATGTTGCAAATTATTATCGTTCTTCAATTCGTCGTCAACGTTTGCGACGATACGGTAGGTATTATTGTTGTTATCGTCAGAGGTATAATTATTACTGAGGCAATCGTGCTATTATTGGAAGAAATGAGGGGTGATAACGCGAGAAACTCGAGAAAAATAACGAATCCCAGAAAAAACGAATCGACGAGCAACACTCATCGCGTGTGTGTAACACTTATCGCGGCTCTGTTCCGCTATTGCGTTTCTTTGCAGACCTTCGGAGAGCGTAGTCAGAGAAGCCCGGACCTTCCTCTCGTCTCTCTGCTCCAGAAACCTACTTTTTCGAGTCATCACAACGATGGCATGTACGCGGGCTGTTATGTCAACTCCATGAGAGAGCGGAAAATTATACATGCTCGGCCGTGTATATGATTCGCATCATCCGGTATATTTCGATTCCCACGTGAGAATTTTTGAGCTATCAAGTCGCTTGTATACCGCAAAATTAATTGGAGCAACGTATTCAAACGTGTTCTCAAGAGGGATAATTTAATTATTTTACATAAATCGAGGTATTAATATAATCTGAGCTCTCTGTTGGATCTATTTCAGGTTTAATATGGCGACAAGTAAATCCTATTAC